AGTAAAACAACACAACCAAAGCCCTGATCTTATCTGTAAGCCCTCCCAACCCTATGTAGGCACAAAAGTTCTGTATTAGAGTTTGTTTTCATTGAAAGTAATCGGAAGCTTGTTGAAATACAGTCATGCCACATTAGAGGAGAGAATAAAAATGTTACTATTAAAATGTAAATTTACAAGTAACTACTATTTCAATACTTCAAATATAACATCCCTTCCATAGCAACTTATTCTTAAGTTCGTAGTGAGTTTGTGTCTAGTACTTTGTCATAATATGTACCATTTTCCACCAAATTCACGGGTTTTGAAAGTGTTTAATTGCATAGCAATGGGTCTTTTAAGTTTACATTGCCAAAAAGTTTTAACTTTATAGAGAATAATGAGCATTCTGTTTTATAATCCCTATTATCACAGACAACTAAGGCATCTGAGTAAAGAGTTTTTGTAGTAGTATGTATACCTGTATTTTCCCATCATGCTACAGCAAATATAATATTAAAATATCAACATCGAGGGATGCGTTTCACATGATGAATCATTTTGCTTAAAGTAAAGGTAAAAAAGTAAGAGTAAAGAACCTTTTAAAGAGAAGTATTTGATTAGCAGCCTATTTATGTTTCAAATAACTACTTTTTGTTTAATGAAGTACTTAATTATCCTATAAAAAGTATAACCAAATGCAATCCACGTTTGAATATTGGGTTATTGATATATTTGCATCACTAATGCACAAACTACAGCAGAGTATAGCACCAATCAAATCTCCCCAGGGGCCTGCTTTATCCATCCAAAGCACATTCACACATGCGCACAAACACACACATTAGAATAGACATTCAGACACATGCACACACTCAGAATTGGTTTTGTTTTATCAGAAGGGGAAATGCATAGAAGGTTTTTAAAATGTATACAGGATTTCTATACCTTAGCAATATTCTTTTAAGTAACTACAACATTTATTCATAAATAAACATTTGGCTATGCATAGGACCATTGATGGGCTAAAGCCATATGTGTGTTTGCACATGTGTGCATCTGTGTGTGATACTCAGCAAGGCAATTAGAACACAGCCTTATTTACTTCCTCTAGGAAGATAAATATTTAACATGAGATATATTCCTTTTATATATAAAACAACCATGATTATTGAGAAAAAGAACAAAATGAGCAGGGCATAGCAGATAGTGAGTTGTGTTAGGATTTTCTATCACTAAAATGGCAATCATAGTACAATATATAAACATAGTACATCAAAGTTCAACACTTTAAATTTATAAAACATTATAGGTTAAATGTCCTTTGATCAAATAAATATGGTCAACTAATTCCACATCTTCCTACCAAGGCAACGCTGTTGGCACATATGTATATATATATTTTGCTCCAGAAATTTCATTATCAGGTTAACAGATATTTTTATTCTAAATATTTAATAATATCTGGGTACCAACACAACTTGTATATCTCATATTCATTTTAGGTAACATTGTATTATTTATTTATTTATTCCAATTTCTACTTTTTACTTTTAAAATTATATATTGTAATTTGTTCTATAGCTACAATAATATAATATCTGAATGTACAAGGTCGGTTGGAAAAAGTCCAGCCATTATTAATATAAGAAAGGTTTACATCAACGCGCATGCATGAACAATGATGTCTTCAATGTACTAGTCAGTGGGGGGGTGGTAGATGCTGTTGAGTGAGCATGTGTATTGTGTGGCCATCTACACATTCATGACTGAGCAAGTAGAGCAATGAATCTGCATCAACATTTGCATTAAGCTTGAACATTTCTCCACAGAAACAATTCAGATGACTCAAAGGCCACAGCTATGGGCAACTGGTGATTGGCAGCTTCATCATGACAACATGCCTGCTCATGCATCACATCTCATGCAAAGTTTTTTTTGCAAAACATAAAATCATTCAGGGAACTCAGCTCCCCTATGGCCATGATTTGGTGCCCTGCAACTTCTGGCTTTTCCCAAAACTAAAATCACCTTTGAAAGGACAGATATTTCAAACTATGGATGAGATTCAGGGCAACTAACAACAATTGGAAGAACTGTGTGAGGTCCCAAGGAGCCTACTTTGAAAAGGACTAAAGTGCCATTGTTCTATGTACAATGTTTCTTGTATCTTGTATCTTCCTCAATAAATATATTTCATATTACATGGTTGGGTGCCTTCTGGAGAGACCTTGTATATGTATGTGTCTATATTATTTATTTACATATCTATATCCATGTATATTCCTCATTATTTTATTCATAAATTATGAGAATTAAGGGGTTAAGCCATATGCCTGAAATCTATCCTTGCCCAGTGTACTTACGTGTTAGATCATAACAAATAAAGAAAGTGGACGAGTAACCTGGTCAAATCTTCTTGTAAACATGGTGATGCCAATACTCCCAGCAAGCTAATAGTATTCACCATGGAAGTGTGCTTGTCTATGACACCTTTCAGTTGTCTAACACAATGGTAAACAAGCCTGGCATCTATAGACTTGTGGAGGAGGGTTCCCAGAAAAATGTCATGTATGCTATGTATATGAATCTGTGGAGATCTATATGACCAAATGTGGCTCTCTGCGTAAGTTACGTGGTAGTGCCCTTTGCTCAAAGACCACACTTGTTAACCTTTCTCAGGATGCATCATGGATTTCTTTCTATGCTTCATCTGTATCTCATAATCATGCATATCCTTGAAAATATTAGTAAACTTGAGACTTGTTTTTTTTAAAGATTTTATTTATTTATCTTTAGAAGGGAAAGGAAGGAGAGAGGGAAAGAAATATCAATGTATGGTTGCCTCTTGTGTTTCCCCTGCTGGGAACTGGCCTGCAACCCAGGCATGTGCCCTGACTGGGAATCAAACCGTGGTTGCTTGGTTCCCCAGCCTGCACTCAATCCACTGAGCTACACCAGCCAGGACCGAGACTTGTTTTGTACTAAACATTTGGCTACAGTTACAATGGGTTTTATATTTAGCCAAGATTTTCTTAAAACTTTGTTAATTGGGCCAGAGCTCTTTGTGGGTTTTGGGTCATGCTGTTGTACTATGACTCTGTAACGCATTACTGAGTATCTTTCATTCTCATTTTGGCATCACATCATATGATATGATAGTATATGATTACTTTGACCGGAAAAATAGAGGGGAAAGAAAGCAAAATTCATATTTTTCTGAGAAAATAGTGATCTGCCTTTGCCTTCATTCTCACTTAATTTCTCATAATTGATGCAATATTTGAGAGCTAAAAAATTGCCTCATTATGAAAAGAGTCATTTGAAGACATAACTCTTCAAGGTAATATACAACCTTGTCATACATATATAACGTAATACATAACCTTGCATGACAAGGTTATATATTGTTATAATGAGACAAAAATTGTTATATATTATCAAAAATTATCGTATATTGTCAAAAATTATCATAATGAGACAAAAATTGTCTCAATGAAAAAGTCATTTGAAGGCATAATTCTTCAAAGTAATGTAGAACTTATATGAAAAAATTTCAATAAAATATAAAATAATCTAAACAATTCATTTATCCTATTTTGCAAAGAATTAAACTAATGTGTAAACAAAACAATACACCGGAAAATTGTTGGGAACCTCTCTGCCTGGTTTCAGGAGTTGTAATTGCCCCCCATGCCTAAGGTTGAGTGATCGACCTCTGGAATGTGAGCCACTAAGGAGACAAAGCTTGTCTCTAGTAGCAGTGCTGCTCCTGCTTCATCCCCTGACCCAACACTTGGCTGGTTAGTCAGAGGCGGGTACGACCCCTCAGAGGGGGGGAAACCTAAGCCAGACATGACCACTTGGGAGGCCATCATGGAAGGATTTGGGGGGCTGCAGCAAAGAGGGAGTGATGGGCTCTCACCCCCAGGCTATTTTGACATAGCCCGAGTTCCCATTTCCATCTGAGAGAAGCGCTTCCTGGCTCTACTCCACTTCAGCCTGAAAAACCTGTGATGAAGGAGATGGTGCAGCCCCTTGCTGACTAGAGTGGGATCCAGGGTGATTGAGCATAAGAAAGAATTCCTAAAGTCCTGTCTAGCCTGCTTTGCTAAGAGTGCTTTCATTCATATGATAAGGGTCCGAGCAGGAAATGGGTATGTCTCCCAAAGTTTCTGCAACCCTCTTACCTGACAGACACTGACTCAGACTAAGCCCTCAGATCTCTTTGAAATGTTATCTACTGTTTGATGCTTGCCACTGTATTCCTGTGTATTACAACCCAATAAAAGCCATTGAGGAAGGGGCTCTTGGCCCTTCTCCTCTGAAAGATTGGCCACCTCTCCTCCCCAAGCAGATCATGTCTTAGTAGTTTTATTTTCATCCATGGCAGACAGGGGCACTTTGTGGGCAAAGCTGACCCCACAGAAAATGTCATTTTATGTAATACTCCATGTTTGTTTTAAGCAGAGAGTGTTTCAATATCTGATATAGGTAAACACAGTAGATAAGCAAAATATTAAGGAAAGCAGTTAATTTATCTTCAGTTATTCCATCACATTGTTTTAAAAAAGTGAGGACATTTTCAAATGTGCTAAAATAACAATGTCTGATATAGAAGAGTAAAAGAAACACAGTTGACCCTTAAAAAATAGAGAAATTAGGGGTGCTGACCTTCCACACAGTTATAATCTGTAATAACCTTTGATTCCACCCAAACTTAACTACTAATAACCTGTTGCCCATAAGCCTTATTGATTACAACAATTAACACATATTTTCTATATTACACATATTATATATTATATTCTTGCAATAAATTATGCTATAGAGAGGAAAATGTTAAGACAATTATGAGAAATTTAAATGCATTTATAGTACTACATGTAATTATTAAAAATAATTTTCATATAAGTGAAGCAGCATAATTCCAACCCATGTTGTTCCACGTCCAAGTATAAAAACATTCCTTTCTTTTGTGCGCATGCACCTGAACATAAAGTATACATAAATTAACTAACCTGTTTTAGGATCTACGGAGAAGTAGGGCTGTCCTTGGAGAATGCTGTAGACCACCCGTGCGCTGTTCCCGTAGGTGGGGTCATCCGCATCAGTAGCTGTCACCTGTAGAACAGAGGTACCTGTGCATTCAGGAAAACAAATTTTAGTGTGTTATGGTATTTAGCACATGAGTACTTTGTACACAGAAAAGGGTTATGCTGAAATATCTATGGAGAGCTATAATGAATATGTTCCAATACATTTTATTCTTAGATTTATCTGTCAAACACATTCCTTGCTTTTCTTTCCCTGCTGTCAACTGCCCTAAATGAAAGTAAGAAATAGAACATTTTATCTTAGCTCTTTTGATGTGACTCTATATGTGCTTATAGAATAAAAAGTTCTCTTTTAACACTCATATAATCAGCTTTGGGTTTGATTGATGGTCAAGACTCAAATCAACCCCGACTGGTATAGCTCAGTGAATTGAGCGCAGGCCTATGAACCAAGGTTGCTGGTCCAGTTCCTGGCCAGGGCACATGTCTGGGTTGTAAGCTAGATTCCCAGTAGGCATTGCATGAGAGACAACCTCATATTATAGTTCTCTCCTTCTCTTTTTCCTTTCCTTCCCCTTTTTCTAAAAATAAATAAATAAATAAATAAATAAATAAATAAATAAATAAAATTTAAAAAAAGACTCAAATTGGGCTTAACCATGTGGCAAAATCAAAGTTGTGATGAGAGTGTATATTGAATGCTACCTGACTCTTCAGAAACCAGTGGTGAAAAAGCTTGTGATTAGTTGTGAGGGTGAATGAGTTGGCATTAAATTGTTAATGACATCAAAATAGCTCACTCAAGTCTTTTCCATCATTCATCCTCTTTTTTTTCTTACATGGATGATTAATGAGACTCCTAACTGGTTCCCAAGGTTCAGTTAGCATCTTTTAGTCTCTTCTACACTAAATCACAGGACCAATATAATTATCTGTCCACATGGGTATCAGAATGTCCCTACCACACTAGATTTTTAGTGATTAAAATGTATTTTAAAATAATTTATAGACTTTAACATACATTTGCAGCATTAATATCTGTGGATCTATTATGCGAATTGCTTTGTGTTCACATGTTTGAAACATCATGTAAATCATTAGATAAGTCTATCTGCTATATTTCAGTTGTTCCCACACAAAACTGAGGGAAGTGTAACATGGCATCCATTTATTAAGGATTATATAACTTCACTGTAGAATTAGTGGTTTAGGGTTCTCATTTACTCATAACATGTATTTGATGAATCACTTAGTGCATGCTTGATATTTAATTTTCTTAAGTGAAAAAAATTCCTACTCATCTGGGTTATATAACCAACAAAATATTTTCACAATCAAGTGAGTCTTTATAAAATTCTGCATTCATTTTGGTAATTGACTGCAGAAGTACTAAAAGTTGTCAGTCTTTAATTTTAGTAGTTACTTCAAATATGCTGGTATGGTACACCTACAACAGGTCTGATATCTGTTCGAATATGAATTTTTACTTTCATGTTGAAATTCAGACACAACCTTAAACAAAGCTTGTTTTTCTTTGCCTGCAAGGGATGCTAGAAAACCTAAAAGAGTTACTATGCAAATGCACCTGTCAATTCTTATCCACAGATGAAAAATGTATATGATTTTTAATAATACACTATGATTCTGGGTTCTAAATAGTATTTTGGTACTGAGATCCAAACAGAAATATAATTAGTCATTATTCATACCCAGAAGGGGAGTACTGACTATGTTATGTCTAAAACAAACCTCTAATTATGGGAAATATAATAGCAACGCCAAATGCTAGTGAGAATGCTGAGAAATTAGGCTACTCAAACACTACTGGTGGAGATGTAAGTTTAGCAGATTCTTATAAAACAGAACATGCATGTACCATACAACCAGCAAGCTGTACTCTTTGGCATTCATATTACAGTAATAAAAATGTATGTTCATATAAAAGCCTGTTCCTAAAATTCATGGTAATATTATTCATGGGCAACATTGTTCCCAAAAGAAAATAATGCAGATGGGAAAATAATCAAACCAACTGTGATGTATTCATACTATGACTTACTGCTCAGCAATAAAAATAAACAGACTATTCATATTTGTGAAAACTGAAATGAATCTTCAGGGAATTATACATAGTAAGAAAAGCCAAGTCCAAAAGGTTATATAATGTATATAATTTTATTTATTTGAAATTGATTAAGTTTTAGAAATGGATAACAGATTAGTAGTTGCCAGTGCTTAGGTGAGAGGAAGTGCAGGATGGTTGGTTTTATAAAATGGCAACATGAAATACACTCATGATTTTGAAGTATACGCAAGATACTCTTCATTATTTTGTTTATGGTGGTAGGTCTGTGAACAGACACTGGTGAGAAATCCAATAAAACTAAAACACACATACACACACAAGTAAAACTACAGAAATCTAAATAAGAGTGGTACATTAAATCATTTCATTAATCTGATGATATTGTTGCCATAGGTAGTTAACTTGGTTTTTTAAAATTTATTTATTTAATTTTGTTTCTTATGTTACTTTATTGCTGTTCAATTACAGTTGTCTGCATTTTCTCCCCACCAATCCCCCCAACCCCATCCAAACCCACCTCCCTCCCTTGCTTCCACCCTCCCCCTTGGTTTTGTCCATTTGTCCTTTATAGTAGTTCCTGAAAACCCTTCTCCCCTCAGTCTCCTCCACACTCCCCTCTGGTTATTGTTAGATTGTCCTTAATTTCAACGTCTCTGGTTATATTTTGTTTCCTTTTTTCCTTTGTTGATTATGTTCCAGTTAAAGGTGAGATCATACGGTATTTGTCCCTCACCACCTGGATTATTTTACTTAGCATAATGCTTTCCAGTTCCACCCATGATGTCACAAAGAATATAAGCTCCTTTTTTCTCTCTGCTAAGTAGAATTCCATTGTTTAAATGTATCAAAGTTTCTTGATCCATTCATTTGCTGATGGGCACTTAGCTTGCTTCCAGAACTTGGCTATCTTAAATTATGCTGCTATGAACACTAGGGTGCATAGGTTCTTTTGGATTGGTGTTTTGGGGCTCTTAGGGTATAATCCCAGCAGTGGAATTGCTGGGTCAAAAGGTTAGCTAGATATTAATAAGAAAGAGAGCAAAGGGAATTAGTCATTGAGTTGAATAAATTCTAGAGCATAGCCTGCTTGCTTAGTCAGGAAGCTGTAGCAGTTACAGACTCACCCACAAATGCAGGATGCTGAGACTGAGGAGACTTAATCCTCTGAGCACAGGAAATCTCCCCAGGAGCTCTGTCTGCCCTCCAGGACCTGGTTGTTGGGGAGTGGAGGGGGAGGTGTTTGTCCATAGAAGCCTGTCAGTCTACCTAAGGAGTGAATTTATCAAAAGCCCCATTGAAAACTGAGGAAGTTGACTGGTTATTTTGAAAAAGAACCTGGTTATAATCCCAGGGGAACAAAGAATTCTTCCTCTCTCTCTTTCTCTTCCCACCCTTGTTATCTCTCTGTCTGCAGCAGACTGTGGGTTCCAAGACTAAACTTTAATATGAAACAGAAACTCTAGACATTAACTTTTGTTTTGACTTCGCTGAAAATAAAGTTGGGGTTTTGCCATGACGGGATGAAGACTGGAGATTGGAAACCCAGGGGCAGATTTATGCCTGAATAAGACTCGCCACACCATAATCTGCTGTGCGTGGGTCTGTGAAAGGCTTTTATTTTTCTTTGCAACCCCATGGTGAGCCTGATTTCCACCAACAACAATATCATTTAACAGTTTTGTAGTATGTTATCATTGGGAAAAACTGGGTAAAGGATACAGATATAAGGAATCTACATCATATCACATGACTGCATGTAAACCTATGATCTCAAAATTAAAAGTAAAGTTTTTTTACCTCAATGCTAGTCCATCTGTAGAAAGCCTTATTTGTGTGTAGCATGAATTTTCACATTAGAGCATTACATGTTCTGGCTTTATTACTTTAACACTTTCCAGAGCTAGTTATATGCAAAATATCTCTTCTACTACTAAGTATAATTATTACTATTAATAGAATATCAGTGACACTTGGCCTATACCCACGAGTTATCTCTCCAACTTATTCAGAGAATACTATTAGGTGCATATTTACAAATAAAAGTTGATTTAGGAGACATTTTCATTGGTACCTCATTACAAAAATTCTGTAGTAATTTCCCAGGTCAGGCTATAGAAGTTGATAAAATGCTATAAAATTATACCAGTCAAATCTTTGATTTGTTGGGGAAAATGTTGCTAGTACCTAATACAGAGAGATGACAAGGATTCAGAAAAGAGAAAACAGTATAGAAAGTTGTAAAATAATAGCCATTAAGAAACCACATTTATAAAACCCTATGTTTTTGAAACTTGTTCTGGTCTTGCAATAGTAATTTAAGTCTAAATAGTTTTTAACATCTTAAAATAGTCCCCAAGCAATCATTCCAGGGAGAAAGCTGAGGAAAACAGACAGTGCAAGATCACATCTCCTTATGGTGATGGGCCAGATCAGTACATGAAAGAGAAAGACAGTGTGCTTGGCTTGGAGTGTCTATAAAAGTCCAGCTTCACGAAGTGAAAGCTGAGAAGCATGAATAAAGTGACATGTGAATAGAGACCGGGGAAAGGAGGAAGGAAGGAAGGAATGGTAGCCTGGAGGTATTGACTAAGGGATGGTTTAAAATAGAAGAGGAAAGTACACAGCAAAAAGATGTTTCAGGGGAAGAAATGGAAATATAATGGTCAAAAAGGACAGCCCTTAACATATTTCTGTGCTGTAGGTCTTACAGGTATTAGGCAGTTCTATTTCTGTGTGAAACAAGGAACAGCAAATTACCTCCCTCACTGCACTTTGGTGGCATCTGAAGGTATCAAGCTGCCACTTTGAGTATGCCTGCCGACTGCTGGCTGAAGGCAACACAGACCAACAAAAAGTCAGCCTGCCCAGGAGCAAGCAGCCCCGGGAGAGATAAATGGCAGGGAGAGGAAAAGGATTTGCTCACCTGTTCAAGGATTTCTTACCAAAGAGAATTGATAAGGGGGTGTCAGGCCAAAATAAAACCACAAACTTGCTAATT